CCGCCCGACAGCTGCACGGAGCGGCTGGCCTATCCCAGCCCCTAACGCCTGACCGAGGCAGGGTAGGCGCACCCGCCCGACAGCTGCACGGAGCGTGTGGCCTATCCCAGCCCAGAGTCAGCCTCAGCCTTGGCCGCCGCAGCCACCAACAGATAAAAGGGTATGTTACCTGGATGGGAATATCAGCCAGCTTGGGGTTGTTGTTGCACTGGGATAAGAGATCTTGGGCGAAGTCGCGGTACGAGAACTGCAGATCTCTGTTCAGCATCAGGCCAATCTGTTGATCTGAAACACACGACAAACGCGATAAGTAACGCGTCTCCATGGCGCGCAAATCTTTTCCGCGCTAAGTATAGTCGTCTTCGAGAGCTCGACTCACTTGACATGTCCAGCCAGACGCGGATCTCGCTCTGGTCCAGGGTCTCGTTGTCCGAGTTCTGACCGAGCGCCATTCGCGCCACCAGAGCGTCAGTGAAGTTCTCCGTGAAGTAGAGCGCTCCCCATGCGTCACCGTTCCGTACCGCATCTAGCGCCTCTTCCTTTGTCTCAAAATAGTCCTGCGAAGCACAGAAACACGTTACACACAAATACGTTATCGCAAGTCGACAAACGTCAGAGAATTCGGATACTTACTTTTACTATAGTTTCATTATCTAGCTGCTGTATGTACCGACAACTGAGCCAAGATAAACTGCAGTTGCTGTACACGGGGCACTCCATGGTAGAGTAGTTCATCTCGTGGTTCACGATGGCAAGGTGCAGTCCGGTGGGGTTGCGACCGATGGCGAGGCAGAAGAGGATGACTTGCATGACGGGCAGGGCGAAGATGAAGAGCATAACACTGCGGGGGGAGCAGAAGAGTGAGTGAGCGTGTCCGTCTCCCAGTTTCTCTCCTCTCGTCAAACGACAGATGAGCGCAGACTCTCACCCGACATTTCTCCACATCCGCAGGAAGTTCTTCTGGAGCAGGGCGCGCATCTTCCCCCTGGTCGTCAGTTTGAAGCAGTCCGTGCAGTCGTCGCAGTCCACCACGGGCTCCGACTTGCCAGCCTTGTTTTTGTTCAGTTGCTAAAGAGAAAGGAAACAAACGCGTTACTTTCGTTGTCCCGGAGTTCGAGGCGCGCTGCAGTTATGCATTGCGGCTGCGGACACTCACGTCTAGGTGTCCGTTGGATTCATTGATCAGCATCTCCTTGGACTGGTGGAAGTTGAGTCCGACCACGCCGCTCTCCTCGGTCACGAACACGGGCTCGTCCTTCTTGTTGCCCCAGTTGAGGGAGGCCTGCGCGCAGGGCGAGGCAGACAGTTAGACACAGAGGCACAAACAATCGCTAGAGAGTCTAACGTTTACCTCCTCGCCCGCCTCACCACCGCAGCATGAGTCAGAACGTCAGAGGTACTTACTGATTTGGTCAAGGTATACGAGGCGGGAGAGAGTGTAGGGGGCCCGGATAATAATTAAGCACCCCCATTAGTTATGAATTATACCTGGGAGGTTGCAAACTCAAAACTACGAAAAACGAGCCAGCCTATTCTCCGCGTCAAAACTCCCTTCTTATCTCTACTATACCACACCACAGACGCACCACTGAGATGTTGTTGGTCATGTTGGCGTCGGTGCCGGGCTGGCTGCCCTGCTTGCGGCTGAGCTTGAGGAAGACCTCTTCCAGCGACGGGCAGTTGTACGTGGCGAGCAACGCGCTGGGAGACTCCTCAGCCAGCAGCTTGCCGCTTCGCATCAGACCGATCTGAACAAGAAAGAGGCAGGCGTAAGTGACAAAGAAGATTAAACAAATGGTGCTGAAACGTAAGATACTTCAGAGCTCGAGTAAAAAAGTGCTGCTGAAACGAAAGTTACTTTAATACTCGAGTAAAGAAGTGCACTTGTTTCAGCACGCTAAAACGTGTAAGTTACTCTAGAACTCGCGAGTACTTCGTACTCACCGCGTGCGCCTGTCGCGCCTCCTCGATGTAATGGGTGGTGATGATGACGGTCTTGTTGCCGTCCTTGGTGATCTGCACCAGATGGTGCCAGATGCTCTGTCTGAGCAGGGGGTCCACGCCGACGGTGGGCTCGTCCAGGATGAGGAGTTCCGGGTCGTGCATGAGGGCGACGGCGAAGGACACTCGCCTCTGCTGACCACCACTGCAACGCGAAACGATAGGGTTATTGTAAGGTTCCTCCGCGACCAGAAATTACGATAGTTTACCCTCAAATTCCCGAATTTGTCACATCACGCGAGCTTAGCGCCTGCGATACTCGGGGTAGGCCACCCCGCCATACTCGCATGCACTGCAGGCGAGATGTGGCCTACCTGCCAGGCGCTATGAGAGCCGCCACAAGCCGAATGACGGGCCTACTCTCTGGGTGATCCCTCGCCCCACCACTCACAGATGGACCGGCGCACTCACCTGAGGTTCTTCACCAGTCGGTTTTGTGAGGGGAGATCGAGGAAGTTGAGGAGGAAATCTAACCGGTCCTGGATTTCACTGCTAGGCATACCGAAGATCCATCCGAAGTACATCATGGTTTCACGAATGGAAAACTCGCCGAGTAAGGCGATTTCCTAAAATCAAAGAAACAAACGGGCACCCGTTTAGAAAGTCGCGTAACTTGGATGATCCTGATGCCACTTGAGTGCTGAAATACCTGCGGCATGTAGCCGACCCGCTTGCCGGGCACACCCGAGCCCTTGGTGCCCGGCTTGCCGCCCAGCACCCAGATCTCTCCAGAGTTGAGGTGCCGCCGGCCGACGAGGCAGCTCAGCAGGGTGGTCTTGCCGCAACCCGAGGCACCGAGGAGTCCGTAGCTGCAACCAGAAGAGACAGAGCCGTCAGCAACGAGCACAGTTGAACGAGAGACCACCGCCACAGCGGGCCAAACAACGAAATCCTGCTCCACGCAGCAGACAGAGAACCTTGCACTTTCCGCAAATCGTGCGCCAGCCCGCGGCAGCGAAGCGACCTTTTCAGCGCCCGAGTTATTACACACCTATAATACCTTACGTTATTGTGGTTCGTTGTTTTTCTCGTGTTTTTTTTTCAAAGGTGCGGGAAGGCTGCCGTTCCGATAATCAACAGTATAAAATCTCATACTTCCGCGGGTCTAAACCTCATTCGGCCAAACGGGAGCGCTAGACAGCCCCCCCCCCCTCCTTTCTCTCTCATCTTATGACGGCATGCGGCGGCCTCTGTCCTGTCCGGCCGGCCTCTTACAACACAGCGTTAGCCTTGCTCCCGGCCGCCCAGCTCGCCGCCCGAGGGAGAGAGAGAGGGGGGGGGG